CTGTTTTGCCCATACAAATCTGTTTTTACGTTGACGTTTATTCAAGAGGGGTTTACGGCAAGGCACATAACATTTTAGACCAAAGAGCATAAGTCGTCTTGAGATTGTCATCCTACTGATTGTTCTACCCAGTGATTGCTTTAATTTTCCATGAAGAATGTCGAGCGTTGCATACCTATCTCTTAGACATGCTTTGCGGATTATTCTGTCTTCTCGTACAGAAGTACATTTCGGTCTGCCAGATCTTACACGGTCGTTAACGCTGCCTGTTGTCTTGTACTTTTGATAGAGTTTTATCATTCCTCTAATTGACACCCAAATTCGTATTCTCTTCTCATTCTTCTTTTCACAGTCTTCCATGGAAACCCGAAAACTCTCATGGTTACAATTTGCCTCCTCTCATCTAAAGTCAGGTTACGTCTCTTTCTCGCTGCCATCCTGCATTACAAATTAAATCAAATAAATTATAACATAATTAACTAGAAGTTGAAATGATTTGCAGAGTCTTATCTCTAGAACATTGATTTTGGCAGATATTATTTTGATTGTATCGAAAAACGAATTCAGCTGCATTTACAGTTAACATTTTTCTCAAAATCATTTTGTCAGACACATTATTAGAGGCCTAAGGTTAGCTACAAAGATTACTGAATAGAATAGATGTTAACTTACCCTTTGATGCTGCAAACAGTCTTCTCCGTACTTCTGACGTCTGATAGGTGACACATGGGAAAGTGGATACAAAACTTAATATACATGTAAAGTTGGCAAATTTCGGTTAAGTTTGGCACATTTGCATATAAGGTTAGTATGCATATCTAAAAAAACCAATAGATTGGAAAATAAAATAATCCAAGGTATCAAAACACAGTACTTAACTTTAAGAAAGTGAAGTGAACAAATTTTTGGGATGCAGCTGTACATGTATACTGAACAAAAAAAGTTAGGGATCATGGAAATTTGAGGATGTGTGTATCAAGCCGTGTGTAAACTTTGTAAAGTCTTCACTACAAAAATATTTTTTGATCATTAACTTTTTTTTGTTCAGTATAGATGGAACATATTGATCACAATGTTGAATCACTACAATCCAAAGTTCGGATTTGAAATACTGACATTGTGTATGCCATTTTTACCATCAAACAATACATATACATAAATAAAGACATATGCGAGGTAAGGAACAGACTTAAAGTAGCGGTTGCAAAGTCATATGAAAGTCCTAATCCTCTAAACTCACTCAATAAGGTCTCAGTGCTGCACCCGATGCAAATACAAGGATGCGTACGTACAATCCTTGCTTTAAGCGTCGAGAAAGTAAAAGGAGAGCGACACCTCGCCCACAATCACATGAAAGCCTCCTGGCGCCACTTTGGTAGTATAATGTTATTGTTTTTAAATAAAAAATTCTCGTTATTTCAATTATTTTCTCGAAACTCGAGTTCTTTCGAGAAAGAACTAAGACAACGAGAAAAAAACTAAAATATTCGAGAAAATAATCGACATTACGAGAAAAAAACTGGAAGTAACGAGAAAAAAATCGATATTTGAAAAACATAAACGAAAAATTCAAATAAAAACAAATTTCGATTTGAAAAAAAATATGCTACCAAATTAGGCACCATTAGGCTTTCGTAGAAGCACACATCGTTATCAATATAATTGTAAATCAGTGTTCATTCGGCATGTAAATGTTTATATGTAACAGATTAAATGAAGGTTTGATAAGGCGATTTGGTATATCATATATTCCCGGAAGCCATTAGCGAAGGCCTCAGATTGACACAGGGAGACGTGGGCCTCCCACCACCGGGCACAGAACCTGTGTACAAGGTGACAACTCACTCCCCAGTAGACGGCAACTGACACAGGGAGACGTGGGCCTCCCACCACCGGGCACAGAACCTGTGTACAAGGTGACAACTCACTCCACAGTAGACAGCGACTGGCACAGGGAGACGTGGACCCCCCACCACCGGGCACAGAACCTGTGTACAAGGTGACAGCTCACTCCCCAGTAGACAGCGACTGACACAGGGAGACGTGGACCCCCCACCACCGGGCACAGAACGTGTGTGCAAGGCGACAACTCACTCCCAAGTAGACAGCGACTGACACAGGGAGACGTGGACCTCCCACCACCGGGCACAGAACCTGTGTACAAGGCGACACCTCACTCCCAAGTAGACAGCGACTGACACAGGGAGACGTGGACCCCCCACCAAGGCGACAACTCACTCCCCAGTAGACAGCGACTGACACAGGGAGACGTGGACCCCCCACCAAGGCGACACCTCACTCCCAAGTAGACAGCGACTGACACGGGGAGACGCGGACCCCCCACCACCGGTCACAGAACGTGTGTGCAAGGCGACAACTCACTCCCCAGTAGACAGCGACTGACACAGGGAGACGTGGACCCCCCACCAAGGCGACACCTCACTCCCAAGTAGACAGCGACTGACACAGGGAGACGTGGACCCCCCACCAAGGCGACAACTCACTCCCCAGTAGACAGCGACTGACACAGGGAGACGCGGACCCCCCACCACCGGGCCCAGAACGTGTGTGCAAGGTGACAGCTCACTCCCCAGTAGACAGCGACTGACACAGGGAGACGTGGACCCCCCACCACCGGGCACTGAACCTGTGTACAAGGTGACAGCTCACTCCCCAGTAGACAGCGACTGACACAGGGAGACGTGGACCCCCCACCACCGGGCACTGAACCTGTGTGCAAGGCGACACCTCACTCCCCAGTAGACAGCGACTGACACAGGGAGACGTGGACCTCCCACCACCGGGCACTGAACCTGTGTGCAAGGCGACACCTCACTCCCAAGTAGACAGCGACTGACACAGGGAGACGTGGACCCCCCACCAAGGCGACAACTCACTCCCCAGTAGACAGGGACTTACACAGGGAGACGTGGACCTCCCACCACCGGGCACAGAACGTGTGTGCAAGGCGCTTAGTGTCTAAGACAAGGAAACATGCTGTGGAATATAGGTCCAACGAAGACATTTAACTAAAAGTATGCGAGGAAAAAGGATTTTTCTATACAATGCATTTAGATCCGTGTGTATTCGAAACAAGAGAATGCTAAGCCGAGGGATGCGTTTACGCTTCAGTGTTAAAATGTGTTAGAATGTGTATTTGAGAAAATACGTCCATGAGTGTTGCGTGAACAATGTTTCGCAATGTTGTAGGAAACGTGCGTGACGTTGTTTCATCATGTGCTGACACACAACATTCAATGATGCAGTCTACACTAGATCTGCCACACAACATTCAATGATGCAGTATACACTAGATCTGACACACAACATTCAATGATGCAGTCTACAGTAGATCTGTCACACAACATTCAATGATGCAGTCTACACTAGATCTGTCACACAACATTCAATGATGCAGTCTACAGTAGATCTGTCACACAACATTCAATGATGCAGTCTACAGTAGATCTGTCACACAACATTCAATGATGCAGTCTACACTAGATCTGTCACACAACATTCAATGATGCAGTCTACACTAGATCTGACACACAACATTCAATGATGCAGTCTACAGTAGATCTGTCACACAACATTCAATGATGCAGTCTACACTAGATCTGTCACACAACATTCAATGATGCAGTCTACAGTAGATCTGTCACACAACATTCAATGATGCAGTCTACAGTAGATCTGTCACACAACATTCAATGATGCAGTCTACACTAGATCTGCAACACAACATTCAATGATGCAGTACACAATAGATCTGTCACACAACATTCAATGATGCAGTATACACTAGATCTGTCACACAATATTCAGTGATGCAGTATACACTAGATCTGTCACACAACATTTAATGATGCACTATACACTAGATCTGTCACACAACATTTAATGATGCAGTATAAACTAGATCTGTCACACAACATTTAATGATGCAGTACACACTAGATCTGTCACACAACATTTAATGATGCAGTATACACTAGATCTGTCACACAACATTTAATGATGCAGTATACACTAGATCTGTCACACAACATTCAGTGATGCAGTACACACTAGATCTGTCACAACATTTAATGATGCAGTACACACTAGATCTGTCACACAACATTTAATGATGCACTATACACTAGATCTGTCACACAACATTTAATGATGCAGTATAAACTAGATCTGTCACACAGCATTCTGTGATGCAGTACACACTAGATCTGTCACACAACATTTAATGATGCAGTATACACTAGATCTGTCACACAACATTTAATGATGCAGTATACACTAGATCTGTCACACAACATTCAGTGATGCAGTACACACTAGATCTGTCACACAACATTCAATGATGCAGTACACACTAGATCTGTCACACAATATTCAGTGATGCAGTATACACTAGATCTGTCACACAACATTTAATGATGCAGTATAAACTAGATCTGTCACACAACATTCAGTGATGCAGTATACACTAGATCTGTCACACAACATTTAATGATGCAGTATACACTAGATCTGTCACACAACATTCAGTGATGCAGTATACACTAGATCTGTCACACAACATTTAATGATGCAGTATACACTAGATCTGTCACACAACATTCAGTGATGCAGTACACACTAGATCTGTCACAACATTTAATGATGCAGTATGCAGTAGATCTGTCACACAACATTCAGTGATGCAGTACACACTTGATCAGTCACACAACATTCAATGATGCAGTATACACTAGATCTGTCACACAACTCAGTAATGCAGTACACACTAGATCTGTCACACAACATCAGGGGGGTCAGTAGATCTGCTCTCTGATTGGTCAATCTCACTTTGAGGCATAATAAGACTCCCTATGACGTCAAGATCGGTGGTGAGTTACGCAAATTACGTAAGTGTCATTGCTGGCTTATGCGTCATAAAAATACACTCAATCTATCAAGCAGTCTGATTCTATTTCATACACATACAAGGAAGATCGAAGACACGTATAAACAAAGTTGGTTTTAATCAAATGCAATCGACAACAAACGTAATTTGCATGAACAAAATACACATTCTATGAGTTCGTATAAATATTGATAATTTAGTGAAACTATGAAAAACAAAAAAGATGATAATAATTAGCAACATTATCGTGAATGTTTCCATGACGACACCTATTTGATGAATGTGCATATCATGTCTCAACTAAAACTGAACGTTTTTGTTATGTACATCCGAAGTGAAACATCATTGGAGGACACTGGTCTTACACACAGATATTCATCAACCACTTAGGAATGATTGCTGGGCCAAGTATCACCGTATTACTAGTCAAATAACAGATGCGTACCTCTTATGGTCAATACTGATACACATATAACCAATTGTATTTGACAGTAACATACTCCTGTTCAATAGACTAAGCGCAGTTAGTATGTGTAAATATATTTGGTCCATTAACAATAATTATATTTCTATTTTCTAGAAATTTAAGCGGAGATCTAATGATACAATAATTCGTATCTAAAAGAATGACAATCACGACGATTGATTCGAGTTTAACTGAGCAATGATAGGTCATCAGGCAGAGTATGGCGTACAAGTAACAGGCGAGTACAAGTAACTGACGAGTACAAGTAACTGACGAGTACAAGCTTTTGGCGAGTACAAGTAACAGGCGAGTACAAGTATCTGGCGAGTACAAGTAACAGGCGAGTACAAGTAACAGGCGAGTACAAGTAACAGTCGAGTACAAGTATCTGGCGAGTACAAGTAACAGGCGAGTACAAGTATCTGGCGAGTACAAGTAACAGGCGAGTACAAGTAACAGGCGAGTACAAGTATCTGGCGAGTACAAGTAACAGTCGAGTACAAGTATCTGGCGAGTACAAGTAACAGGCGAGTACAAGTAACAGGCGAGTACAAGTAACAGGCGAGCTAGTTGAGTGGCGATGCACAGTAAATGCATAGTTCTGATCTCATCGATGTATCTTTAGTCAGTTCGTCTCAAACTCTTCAGCGTGTCCAACTCTCGTTCAATCTCACGTTTTTTGGTGTCGCCCCACTCTTCATCTGAAAAAATAAGAATTAAAACAAAATAATTTCAAGAAGAAACAAAGACTCACAATGTGTCTGCTGCGTGTTGTAAGACTTGTGTGTAAGAACAATGTGCTCGACCGTTGTTACAAGACTTGTGTGTAAGAACAATGTGTTCTCTACGTGTTAAGAGACTTGTATGTAAGAACAATGTGCCCGACCTGTGTTTAAAGACTTGTGTGTAGTAACAATGTGTTCTCTGCGTGTTACAAGACTTGTATGTAAGAACAATGTGCCCGACTGGTGTTTAAAGACTTGTGTGTAGTAACAATGTGTTCTCTGCGTGTTACAAGACTTGTATGTAAGAACAATGTGCCCGACTGGTGTTTAAAGACTCGTGTGTAGTAACAATGTGTTCTCTGCGTGTTGCAAGACTTGTATGTAAGAACAATGTGCCCGACTGGTGTTTAAAGACTTGTGTGTAGTAACAATGTGTTCTCTGCGTGTTACAAGACTTGTATGTAAGAACAATGTGCCCCACTGGTGTTTAAAGACTTGTGTGTATTTACAATGTGTTCGCTGAGTGTTATAATACTTGTGTGTAAGAACAATGTGCCCGACTGGTGTTACAAGACTTGTGTGTATATACAATGTGTTCGCTGAGTGTTACAAGACTTGTGTGTAGTAACAATGTGTTCTCTGCGTGTAACAAGATTTGTATGTAAGAACAATGTGCCCGACTGGTGTTTAAAGACTTGTGTGTAGGAACAATATGTTCGCTGAGTGTTATAATACTTGTGTGTAAGAACAATGTGCCCGACTGGCGTTACAAGATTTTTATGTAAGAACAATGTGCCCGACTGGTGTTACAAGACTTGTGTGTAAGAACAATGTACCCAACTGGTGTTACAAGACTTGTGTGTAAGAAACAATGTGCCCGGCTGGTGTTACAAGACTTGTGTGTAGGAACAATGTGTTCGCTGCCTGTTATAAAACTTGTGTGTAGGAACAATGTGTTCTCTGCGTGTTATAAGACTTGTGTCTGCTTGGTGTTAAACGACCTGGGCGTAAGATCAATACAATGCGTGGTTCAAGACGTGTGTGTAAAAACAAAATGTTCGCTGTGGGTTATAAGACTTGTGTGTAAGAACAATGTGTCTGCTTGGTTTTACAAGACTTGGGCGTAAGAACAATGTATCTGTTGCGTGGTTCAAGACGTGTGTGTAAAAGCAATGTGTTCGCTGTGTGTTTGGTTCAAGACGTGTGTGTAAAAACAATGTGTTCGTTGTGTGTTATAAGACTTGTGTGTAAGAACAATGTGTTCGCTGTGTGCTATAACACTTGTGTGTAGGAACTATGTGTCTGCTTGGTGTTAAAAGACTTGGGCGTAAGAACAATGTGTCTGCTGCGTGGTTCAAGACGTGTGTGTAAAACAATGTGTTCGCTGTGTGTTATAAGACTTGTGTGTAAGAACAATGTGCCCGACTGGTGTCACAAGACTTGTGTGTATATACAATGTGTTCGCTGAGTGTTATAAGACTTGTGTGTAAGAACAATGTGCCCGACTGGTGTCACAAGACTTGTGTGTATATACAATGTGTTCGCTGAGTGTTATAAGACTTGTGTGTAAGAACAATGTGCCCGACTAGTGTCACAAGACTTGTGTGTATATACAATGTGTTCGCTGAGTGTTATAAGACTTGTGTGTAAGAACAATGTGCCCGACTGGTGTCACAAGACTTGTGTGTATATACAATGTGTTCGCTGAGTGTTATAAGACTTGTGTGTAAGAACAATGTGCCCGACTAGTGTCACAAGACGTGTGTGTAAAACAATGTGTTCGCTGTGTGTTATAAGACTTGTGTGTAAGAACAATGTGCCCGACTGGTGTCACAAGACTTGTGTGTATATACAATGTGTTCGCTGAGTGTTATAAGACTTGTGTGTAAGAACAATGTGCCCGACTGGTGTCACAAGACTTGTGTGTATATACAATGTGTTCGCTGAGTGTTATAAGACTTGTGTGTAAGAACAATGTGCCCGACTGGTGTCACAAGACTTGTGTGTATATACAATGTGTTCGCTGAGTGTTATAAGACTTGTGTGTAAAACAAAATGTCTGTTGCGTGTTGTAGGATTTGGGTATATGAACAATGTGTCTGCTTTGTGTTACACGACTTGGATGTAAGAACAAGGTCTTGGATGCATGTGGTAAGACTTGTGTGTATGAACAATGTGTCTGCTTGGTGTTACACGACTTGGATGTAAGAACAAGGTCTTGGATACATGTGGTAAGACTTGTGTGTATGAACAATGTGTCTGCTTGGTGTTACACGACTTGGATGTAAGAACAAGGTCTTGGATGCATGTGGTAAGACTTGGGTGTATGAAGAGTCTGGAACACATGTACCAACCTGGGGATTCCAGATCTTGTATGATGTCCTTGACCGTGAAGCCGCTGTGCAGCGCCATCTGGATGTCCTTCAACAGTCGGTCCTCTACCGCATGTAGCACTGGAACATTAGAGGCCATGCCATAGACTCATGCTTAGTCTGGACTTGCTTCATTGAGGGCTTTTGCATTGAGGAAAGGGCTGGGCGGAAGGGAACATAATATGGTTCAGGGACTGCGACACAGACTTAGCCATACGACAGTGAGGAGCGACTGAGTGACAGATGTTTTATGCTGCACTCAGCAGTGTGTCAGAAACATCTGTGTACATAAACGTACCAATAAGTGTGCTTGATTATTGCAGTATGCTTGGTTATCGCAGTATGCTTGATTATCGCAGTATGCTTAATTATCGCAGTATGCTTGACTATCGCAGTATGCTTGATTATCGCAGTATGCTTGACTATCGCAGTATGCTTGATTATCGCAGTATGCTTGATTATTGCAGTATGCTTGATTATTGCAGTATGCTTGATTATCGCAGTATGCTTGACTATCGCAGTATGCTTGACTATCGCAGTATGCTTGATTATTGCAGTATGCTTGATTATTGCAGTATGCTTGATTATCGCAGTATGCTTGATTATCGCAGTATGCTTGATTATTGCAGTATGCTTGATTATCGCAGTATGCTTGATTATCGCAGTATGCTTGACTATCGCAGTATGCTTGATTATCGCAGTATGCTTGATTATCGCAGTATGCTTGATTATTGCAGTATGGTTGATTATTGCAGTATGCTTGATTATCGCAGTATGCTTGACTATCGCAGTATGCTTGATTATCCCAGTATGCTTGACTATCGCAGTATGCTTGATTATCGCAGTATGCTTGATTATCGCAGTATGCTTGATTATTGCAGTATGCTTGATTATCGCAGTATGCTTGACTATCGCAGTATGCTTGATTATCGCAGTATGCTTGATTATCGCAGTATGCTTGATTATCGCAGTATGCTTGATTATCGCAGTATGCTTGATTATTGCAGTATGCTTGATTATCGCAGTATGCTTGATTATCGCAATGTGCAGAGCTCTGAATTATCACAGTGTGTAACGGACCGACCATTTAAATTAAAATAATTTGTTTGAGAAGATACCGGAGAAAGTTTAACACAAACAATAATTGTTCACTGGACAAAGTGAGAAAAAATACATGTGTAAGGGTCAGCCCCAAACAGGGAAAACAGTTAAGCCAATTTGTTTGTGTGAACGAATTCACAAATCAGCTGTTACAATATCAAGGCAATGTATCCTACGGCGACATATAATATTGTCTGGACCAGACGAAATATTACTTGATGTATTAATCAACGATTCACTATATCTGTACGAAGCAACACAGTCAGTCATTTTACCTTCATGCCGGAAATCCCCAAAATGGCCCTCCTCGATCACCTGCTGGGAGCGAGACCTCGGCAATACTGCAATACAGAACGCGTTTCAGGAATTACGTGTCATGAATCTGTTACAGGTGTCACACCATGTGTCATGAATATGTTACAGGTGTCACACCATGTGTCATGAATCTGTTACAGGTGTCACAACATGTGTCATGAATATGTTACAGGTGTCACACCATGTGTCATGAATCTGTTACAGGTGTCACAACACGTGTTATAAATCCTGTTACAGGTGTCACGCCATGTGTCATGAATCTGTTACAGGTGTCACACCATGTGTCATGAATCTGTTACAGGTGTCACACCATGTGTCATGAATCGGTTGCAGGTGTCACACCATGTGTCATGAATCTGTTACAGGTGTCACACCATGTGTCATGAATCTGTTACAGATGTCACACCATGTGTCATGAATATGTTACAGGTGTCACACCATGTGTCATGAATCTGTTACAGATGTCACACCAATTGTCATGAATCTGTTACAGATGTCACACCATGTGTCATGAATCTGTTACAGGTGTCACACCATGTGTCATGAAACTGTTACATGTGTCACACCACGTGTCATGAATATGTTACAGGCGAGTCTGACCACCTTATCCCGTTTATCGTCTCTAACGACAAGAATAGTCGCCTTTTACAACAAGCATGGGATGATGATGATCTATGCTTACCCGGATCTTATCTTCACGGGTCTCTACCATCTCTCCTCCACACCCCCCCCCCCCCCCCCCCCCCCCTTCCGACTCTCCTACCGATCACAACATTCTACCAGCAACACTCGCCTTCCTAACCTCTCTTGTACATTCATCATTTCCTTCCACACGTACCCCTCTCCCCCAACTTTTCTACCACCCGCATCCATCTACCGTCATAATGATAGTAACGACGATACTTACGCCAGTTTTGGAAGTTACCACTTACTGTCTTGTGATGCACGTTGTTTGTACCGCCTTAACAAAGTCATGATGTCACTTTCAACATCCGTGTCAGCTTCCGTGTCGCTTTCCCCTTGACGTGTGTCCACGTTGTCGGCTACTACCTCCTCGTGGAACCCTAACTCATCTTTTAAAGAATTACGTGAAAAGAATCAGGCAAAATGTGTGCGTGTGTGGTGTCAAATATATTGATTTCCTAAATAAATACTGCAAATTTGCCAATTGGCTTAAGCCAAAACTGAAATCGTACATAGGTCCCCCCCCGCAACTGGCCAGTCCCTTCATATCGGGTGTCCTACCTCCTGCTGCAATGTCCTCGTCCTGCAGTGCCCCCGCCTCCTCCTGAGATCGGACGTGTGCCAAAGTGTTCTCCAGCATCTGGGACACAATCAAGCAACACCAAAGGTAAAGTAAACATGAATAAATGTCTCTGATAACGTTTTATGTACCCGTGTAACACACCTTCCCTCTCTCCGTCTGATGACCTCTACCCGTGTCACACCCCCCTTCCGGTCTCTGTCGGATGATATGTACCCGTGTAACACACCCTTCCTGTCTCTGTCTGATGATACGTACCCGTTTAACACACCCTTCCTGTCTCTGTCTGATGATACGTACCCGTTTAACACACCCTTCCTGTCTCTGTCTGATGATACGTACCCGTTTAACACACCCTTCCTGTCTCTGTCTGATGATACGTACCCGTTTAACACACCCTTCCTGTCTCTGTCTGATGATACGTACCCGTTTAACTCACCCTTCCGGTCTCTGTCTGATGATATGTACCCGTGTAACACACCCTTCCTGTCTCTGTCTGATGATACGTACCCGTTTAACACACCCTTCCGGTCTCTGTCTGATGATACGTACCGGTTTAACACACCCTTCCTGTCTCTGTCTGATGATACGTACCCGTTTAACACACCCTTCCTGTCTCTGTCTGATGATACGTACCCGTTTAACTCACCCTTCCGGTCTCTGTCTGATAATACGTACCCGTTTAACACACCCTTCCTGTCTCTGTCTGATGATACGTACCCGTTTAACACACCCTTCCTGTCCCTGTCTGATGATACGTACCCGTTTAACACACCCTTCCGGTCTCCGTCTGATGACCTCTACCCGTGTCACACACTCCTTCCTGTCTCTGTCTGATGATACGTACCCGTTTAACACACCCTTCCTGTCCCTGTCTGATGATACGTACCCGTTTAACACACCCTTCCGGTCTCCGTCTGATGACCTCTACCCGTGTCACACACCCCTTCCGGTCTCTGTCTGATGATACATACCCGTTTAACACACCCTTCCTGTCTCTGTCTGATGATACGTACCCGTGTAACACACCTGCCCTATCTCCGTCTGATGATCTCTACCCCGTGCAACACACACTTCCTATCTCCGTCTGATAATCTCGATCCTGTCTGACGTATCATTGTACCCGTGTAACACCCTCTTCCTGTCTGACGTATCATTTTACCCGAATAAACCCCCTTCCTGTCTGACGTATCATTGTACCCGTATAACAACCGCTTCCTGTCTGACGTAACAGTGTACCCGTGTAACAACCGCTTCTTGTCTGACGTAACATTGTACCTATGTAACAACCCCTTCCTGTCTGACTTAACATTGTACCCGTATAACACCCCCTTCCTGTCTGACGTATCATTGTACCCGTATAACACCCCCTTCCTGTCTGACGTAACATTGTACCCGTTTAACACCCCCTTCTTGTCTGACGTAACATTGTACCCGTGTAACACCCTCTTCCTGTCTGACGTATCATTGTACCCGAATAAGACCCCTTCCTGTCTGACGTAACATTGTACCCGTGTAACAACCGCTTCCTGTCTTACGTAACAGTGTACCTGTGTAACACCCCCTTCCTGTCTGACGTAACATTGTACCCGTATAACACCCCCTTCTTGTCTGACGTACCATTGTACCCCTCCAATGTATCATGTTTGAATAATTTGAAAGAAAAATGAATCACCTTCAGTGTTTTCCTGTCCCCGTCCACCAATCTGGTGGCAAGCAACTTCACTTTGTCTTGTCTGGTTGGAGCCTCGTCGTCATACTCGCTTCTCATTGGTTCACGACTGTTTCTCTCGATCTTTGAGCCAATTGCCACAGGCGATGATGTTTTTAAAGTATTGTCACCGTCGTCCTTTTCTTTGCTGTTGTTGATATCTTCTAACTACAATCAGCAACAACCAACATGTACGCCAACCCTTTTACATCGATATGATACAACAAAGTGTAAGCGCAAGTCGGATTGCATGTAAAAGAGTCAGGTGCCACTTCCTGACCCCTCCTGACCCTTCCTGGTCCCGCCTGCCCCTTCCTGGACACCCCAACCCCAACCTGGCCCCTCCTGCTCCCGCCTGGTCCGTCCTGCCCCTTCCTGGCACCTCATGCCCCATCCCGCTCCTTCCTTTCACCGCCTGCCCCTTACTGCTCCTTCCTGCCCCCTCCTGCGCCCTCCTGTCCCTGCCTGCTCCTTCCTGCTCCTTCCTGTCCCTTCCTGCCCCTTCCTGCTCCTTCCTGCCCCCTCCTGCCCCCTCCTGTCCCCTCCTGTCCCCTGCTGCTCCTTCCTGTCCCTTCCTGTCCCTTCCTGTCCCTTCCTGCCCCTTCCTGTGCCCTCCTGCCCCCTCCTGCTCCTTCCTGTCCCTTCCTGCTCCTTCCTGCCCCTCCTGCTCCTTCCTGCTCCTTCCTGTCCCTTCCTGCCCCTTCCTGCTCCTTCCTGCCCCCTCCTGCTCCTTCCTGCCCCTTCCTGCTCCTTCCTGCCCCCTCCTGTCCCTTACTGCCCCCTCCTGCTCCTTCCTGCTCCTTCCTGTCCCTTCCTGCCCCTTCCTGCGCCCTCCTGCTCCTTCCTGTCCCTTCCTGCCCCTTCCTGCTCCTTCCTGCCCCCTCCTGCGCCCTCCTGCCCCCTCCTGCGCCCTCCTGTCCCTTCCTGTCCCTTCCTGCCCTTCCTGCTCCTTCCTGCGCCCTCCTGCCCCCTCCTGTCCCTTCCTGCCCCTTCCTGCACATTCTTGCCCCCTCCTGCGCCCTCCTGCTCCTTCCTGCGCCCTCCTGCCCCCTCCTGTCCCCCCCTGCCCCCTCCTGTCCCTTCCTGCCCCCTCCTGCGCCCTCCTGCTCCTTCCTGCCCCCTCCTGCGCCCTCCTGCCCCTTCCTGCTCCTTCCTGCCCCCTCCTGCGCCCTCCTGTCCCTTCCTGTCCCCTCCTGCGCCCTCCTGTCCCTTCCTGCCCCTTCCTGCCCCCTCCTGTCCCTTCCTGCCCCCTCCTGTCCCTTCCTGCTCCTTCCTGCCCCCTCCTGTCCCTTCCTGCCCCCTCCTGTCCCCTCCTGCCCCCTCCTGCCCCTTCCTGCTCCTTCCTGCCCCCTCCTGCGCCCGCCTGTCCCTTCCTGACCCTTCCTGCGCCCTCCTGCGCCCTCCTGTCCCTTCCTGCCCCTTCCTGCCCCCTCCTGTCCCTTCCTGCCCCCTCCTGTCCCTTCCTGCTCCTTCCTGCCCCCTCCTGTCCCTTCCTGACCCTTCCTGCGCCCTCGTGCGCCCTCCTGTCCCTGCCTGCTCCTTCCTGCCCCCTCCTGTCGCTTCCTGCCCCTTCCTGCGCCCTCTTGTCCCTTCCTGCCCCCTCCTGCCCCTTCCTGCCCCCTCCTGCGCCCTCCTGTCCCTGCCTGCTCCTTCCTGCGCCCTCCTGTCCCTTCCTGCCCCTTCCTGCGCCCTCCTGTCCTTTCCTGCCCCCTCCTGTGCCCTCCTGTCCCTTCCTGCTCCTTCCTGCCCCCTCCTGCGCCCTCCTGTCCCTTCCTGCGCCCTCCTGTCCCTTCCTGCTCCTTCCTGCCCCTTCCTGCGCCCTCCTGTCCTTTCCTGCCCCCTCCTGTGCCCTCCTGTCCCTTCCTGCTCCTTCCTGCCCCCTCCTGCGCCCTCCTGTCCCTTCCTGCGCCCTCCTGTCCCTTCCTGCTCCTTCCTGCCCCCTCCTGCCCCCTCCTGTCCCTTCCTGCCCCCTCCTGCTCCTTCCTGTCCCCTCCTGCCCCCTCCTGTCCCGTCCTGCCCCCTCCTGCGCCCTCCTGTCCCCTCCTGTCCCTTCCTGCCCCCTCCTGCGCCCTCCTGCCCCTTCCTGCCCCCTCCTGCGCCCTCCTGTCCCTGCCTGCTCCTTCCTGCCCCCTCCTGTCCCTGCCTGCTCCTTCCTGCCCCCTCCTGTGCCCTCCTGTCCCTTCCTGCTCCTTCCTGCCCCCTCCTGCGCCCTCCTGTCCCTGCCTGCCCCTTCCTGACACCGCCTGCCCATTCTTGCCACTTCCTGTCCCCTCTTGCGTAGGGGGAGAAGATGGGCACCGGGCTGAGTTTATGCCCAAGGGCCCCGAATGTGGATCGTTGCTGACGCTGTGAAGGACTGGTTTGCCTGATTTGTTGAATGAAAGTCGTGACTTTTTTATATATTAAATACGGCATAAAACACCATTCTCTCATTCTCTCACTTACCATTTCTTGCAACTGCAACAACTGAAATAAAGGTGATAATAAGCTTAGTAAGTAAATTCGGAATTAAGACAGTGCTTTGATCTCTTATAGGTAGATTATCAAATTTTCAATTATTTGATACATCTGATAGAAAGAAGTGTAATTTATGTTATAAATTTTCAATTAAAACACTGTTAAGTACCTTTTGTCTCAATTCTTTCACCTGAAACAAGTAAAAGAGTCACATCATCATCATCATCATCATCATCATCATCATTACTACTCTCAGTGTGTACATGTAATGTCTTATTACAACTCACAGTGTGTAGATGTAATGTGTTATTACAACTCTCAGTGTGTAGATGTAATGTGTTATAACTCTCAGTGTGTAGATGTAATGTGTTATAACAACTCCCAGTGTGTAGATGCAATGTGTTATAACAACTCTCAGTGTGTAGATGCAATGTGTTATAACAACTCTCAGTGTATACACGTAATGTGTTATTACAACTCTCAGTGTGTACACGTAATGTGTTATTACAACTCTCAGTATATACACGTAATGTGTTATTACAACTCTCAGTGTGTAGATGCAATGTGTTATTACAACTCTCAGTATATACACGTAATGTGTTATTACAACTCTCAGTGTATACACGTAATGTGTTATTACAACTCTCAGTGTGTACACGTAATGTGTTATTACAACTCTCAGTGTATACACGTAATGTGTTATTACAACTCTCAGTGTGTACACGTAATGTGTTATTACAACTCTCAGTGTGTAGATGTAATGTGTTATTACAACTCTCAGTGTGTAGATGTAATGTGTTATTACAACTCTCAGTGTGTACACGTAATGTGTTATTACAACTCTCAGTATATACACGTAATGTGTTATTACAACTCTCAGTGTGTACACGTAATGTGTTATTACAACTCTCAGTATATACACGTAATGTGTTATTACAACTCTCAGTGTGTACACGTAATGTGTTATTACAACTCTCAGTGTGTACACGTAATGTGTTATTACAACTCTCAGTGTGTAGATGTAATGTGTTATTACAACTCTCAGTGTATACACGTAATTCGTTATTACAACTCTCAGTGTGTAGATGTAATGTGTTATTACAACTCTCAGTGTGTAGATGTAATGTGTTATAACAACTCTCAGTGTGTAGATGTAATGTGTTATTACAACTCTCAGTGTGTAGATGTAATGTGTTATTACAACTCTCAGTGTGTAGATGTAATGTGTTATTACAACTCTCAGTATATAAACGTAATGTGTTATTATAACTCTCAGTGCGTACACGTAATGTGTTATTACAACTCTCAGTGTGTAGATGTAATGTGTTATTACAACTCTCAGTGTGTAGATGTAATGTGTTATTACAACTCTCAGTGTGTAGATGTAATGTGTTATTACAACTCTCAGTGTGTACACGTAATGTGTTATTACAACTCTCAGTGTATACACGTAATGTGTTATTACAACTCTCAGTATATACACGTAATGTGTTATTACAACTCTCAGTGTGTACACGTAATGTGTTATTACAACTCTCAGTGTGTACACGTAATGTGTTATTACAACTCTCAGTATATACACGTAATGTGTTATTACACCTCTCAGTGTGTAGATGTAATGTGTTATTACAACTCTCAGTATATACACGTAATGTGTTATTACAACTCTCAGTGTATACACGTAATGTGTTATTACAACTCTCAGTATATACACGTAATGTGTTATTACAACTCCCAGTGTGTAGATGTAATGTGTTATTACAACTCTCAGTGTATACACGTAATGTGTTATTACAACTCTCAGTATATACACGTAATGTGTTATTACAACTCTCAGTGTGTACACGTAATGTGTTATTACAACTCTCAGTGTGTAGATGTAATGTGTTATAACAACTCTCAGTGTATACACGTAATGTGTTATTACAAATCGTCTGTTTAATCATCGAGACATTATCCAGATAATATGACATGAATGTCACAGTGCACTACATGTCTATGATAATAAACTGTTGTCACATACCTTCCCTGCATCTGTATCAACTCGCTTTGCTGAAATTGAAAGAGAAATACCGGTCAAAATACTGGGGGTAATATAATGGTCAAGTACTGGGGGTAATATAATGGTCAAGTATTGGGGGTAATATATCGGTCAAGTACTGGGGTAAATATATCGGTCAATTATTGGGGATAATATACTGGAGATGTCCTGGGGGTACTGGCCTGGGGGTACATACTTGTCAAATACTGGGGGGTACCATACTGGCCATGTGCTGGGGGTAATATACTGGTCATGTCCTGGGGGTAATATACTTGTCATGTCCTTGGGGTAATATACTGGTCAAGTACTGGGGGTAATATAATGGTCAAGTACTGGGGGTAATATTTGGGTCAAGTACTGGGGGTAATATATTGGTCAAGTACTGGGGGTAATATACTGGTCAAGTACTGGGGTAATATAATGGTCAAGTACTGGGGGTAATATAATGGTCAAGTCCTGGGGGTAACATACTTGTCATGTCCTGGGGGTAATATACTGGTCATGTCCTGGGGGTAATATAATGTTCAAGTACTGGGGGTTATATAATGGTCATGTCCTGGGGGTAACATACTGGTCATGTCCTGGGGGTAACATACTTGTCATGACCTAGAGGTAACATACTGGTCATGTCCTCGGGGTAACATAATGGTCATGACCTAGGGGTAACATACTGGTCATGTCCTGGGGGTAATATAATGTTCAAGTACTGGGGGTAATATAATGGTCATGTCCTGGGGATAACATACTGGTCATTTCCTGGGGGTAACATACTGGTCATGTCCTAGGGGTAACATACTGGTCATTTCCTGGGGGTAACATACTGGTCATGACCTAGGGGTAACATACTGGTCATGTCCTGGGGGAAACATACTGGTCATGACCAAGGGGTAACATACTGGTCATGTCCTGGGGGTAACATACTGGTCATGTCCTGGGGGTAACATACTGGTCATGACCTAGGGGTAACATACTGGTCATGTCCTGGGGGTAACATACTGGTCATGACCTAGGGGTAATATACTGGTCATGTCCTGGGGGTAACATACTGGTCATGTAATGGGGTAACATACTGGTCATGACCTAGGGGTAACATACTGGTCATGTCTTGGGGGTAACATAATGGTCATGACCTAGGGGTAACATACTGGTCATGTAATGGGGTAATATACTGGTCATGTGCTGGGGAAAACATACTGTTCAAGTACTGGGGGTAACATACTGGTCAAGTACTGGGGGTAACATACTGTTCAAGTACTGAGAGTAACATACTGTTCAAGTACTGAGAGTAACATACTTGTCAAGTATTGGGAGTAATATACTGTTCAAGTACTGAGAGTAACATACTGTTCAAGTACTGGGGGTAACATACTGTTCAAGTACTGGGGGTAACATACTGGTCATGACCTAGGGGTAATATACTGGTCATGTCCTGGGGGTAACATACTGGTCATGTAATGGGGTAACATAATGGTCATGACCTAGGGGTAACATACTGGTCATGTCTTGGGGGTAACATAATGGTCATGATCTAGGGGTATCATACTGGTCATGTAATGGGGTAATATACTGGTCATGTGCTGGGGAAAACATACTGTTCAAGTACTGGGGGTAACATACTGGTCAAGTACTGGGGGTAACATACTGTTCAAGTACTGAGAGTAACATACTGTTCAAGTACTGGGGGTAACATACTTGTCAAGTACTGGGAGTAGCATACTGGTCAAGTACTGGGAGTAGCATACTGTTCAAGTACTGGAGGTAACATACTGTTCAAGTACTGGGGGTAACATACTGTTCAAGTACTGGGGGTAACATACTGGTCAAGTACTGGGAGTAGCATACTGGTCAAGTACTGGGAGTAACATGCTGGTCAAGTACTGGGGTTATATACTGGTCAAGTACTAGGAGTAGCATACTGGTCAAGTACTGGGAGTAACATACTGGTCAAGTACTGGGGCAATATACTGGTCAAGTACTGGGAGTAGCATACTGGTCAAGTACTGGGAGTAGCATACTGTTCAAGTACTGAGAGTAACATACTGTTCAAGTACTGGGGGTAACATACTGTTCAAGTACTGGGGGTAACATACTGGTCAAGTACTGGGAGTAGCATACTGGTCAAGTACTGGGAGTAACATACTGGTCAAGTACTGTGGTAATATACTGGTCAAGTACTGGGAGTAGCATACTGGTCAAGTACTGGGAGTAACATACTGGTCAAGTACTGGGGTAATATACTGGTAAAGTACTGGGAGTAGCATACTGGTCAAGTTCTGGGAGTAACATACTGGTCAAGTAATGGGGTAATATGCTGGTCAAGTACTGGGGGTACCATACTGGTCAAGTACACATATTTTTTATGGATTCATGGAGTAATTGTGATGCATTAATGTCTTGTTTCACTGGCGGAAATGGAATATTTTACGGCGCTTCTTTTTTCATTATGAAACAAGCTCAGATTCGTGATCCATCGACCAAACTTAATCTGAAAAAAATGCTTAAAGTTGTCATGCTTCATCCCCCAAACACCAGTCATGTGAGGTTGTCATGATTCATCCCCCAAACACCAGTCATGTGAGGTTGTTATGATTCATCCCCCAAACACCAGTCATGTGAGGTTATCATGCTTCATCCCCCAAACACCAGTCATGTGAGGTTATCATGCTTCATCCCCCAAACACCAGTCATGTGAGGTTGTCATGATTCATCCCCCAAACACCAGTCATGTGACGTTATCATGCTTCATCCCCCAAACACCAGTCATGTGAGGTTGTCATGATTGAACCCCCCTAAACACCAGTCATGTGAGGTTGTCATGATTCATGCCCCCAAACACCAGTCATGTGACGTTGTCATGATTCATGCCCCCAAACACCAGTCATGTGACGTTGTTATGATTCATGCCCCCAAACACCAGTCATGTGACGTTGTCATGATTCATCCCCCAAACACCAGTCATGTGACGTTGTCATGATTCATCCCCCCAAACACCAGTCATGTGAGGTTGTCATGATTCATCCCCCAAACACCAGTCATGTGAGGTTGTCATGATTCATCCCCCAAACACCAGTCATGTGAGGTTGTTATGCTTCATCCCCCAAACACCTGTCATGTGAGGTTGTTATGCTTCATCCCCCAAACACCAGTCATGTGAGGTTGTTATGCTTCATCCCCCAAACACCAGTCATGTGAGGTTGTCATGATTCATCCCCCAAACACCAGTCATGTGAGGTTGTTATGCTTCATCCCCCAAACACCAGTCATGTCAGATTGCTTCACTGGTGGGTTGGTCTGACTGATACCTAGTTTCAGCTGCAATATGTGACAGAAGTATATAGATCGTTCTACGGATTACAGGATTGATGTGTGCCCCCGCCATGCCAGATGCACGCCGTGTCGCTCTGTGTGGGGAGAATGTGGCCCCAGTCGCACAGGGTGTGTGGACTAGAAGCATCTCATGTCTCTAATCAAGCGATGACTAATTCCCACACACTAGCATGTTGTTGAGAACTCACCCAACTAATATAAACACCAACTTGAAACTTGCAAGATAATTATGGAGAGTAAAATCGATATCTCCTCACTACGGAAAAAACAGTGATAACCGTTATGAAATGTGTGACAGACACAGGTGGTTATATTGACGTAAACAATGCTAAAACGGGCTAGATCTAAGCTAAATATTCCTTTAAATAATTCATGTAATGCTAAATTTAACATGAGCATATATTACGTTGCCTGGGTGAGACAAGTGTGTGTGTGGAGAAATATAAAACACATTTACAAAATATGAACATCGTTGTCGGACGCTTAAGTTCACATTGATAACAGTAGTGAATCTCGACGAAACCTTATAGTCTATTCATGTACAATTCTTAGTTAAAACACTTATATATGCGTACATTTAGCCAATGCTTATATTTTTTAAATGTTTGCCAATTTGTTGGGAACTAGCCTCGAACCCCAAACAAACATAAACAGCCTGATGGACCCTAGAGTGTTTGACTGAGTCGGCCACGTGCCGCTGTCAGCGTGTATCAATCCAGGAGATCAGGATTATCTTACACATATAGGTACAATATTTCACACACAACTACAAGGGTCTCAGCGCTACGACTGTCTTAGCTCTATGTTAAAGTATGAGAGTTACCATCGTCTCAGCGCTACGACTGTCTTAGCTCTATGTTAAAGTATGAGAGTTACCATCGTCTCAGCGCTACGACTGTCTTAGCTCTATGTTAAAGTATGAGAGTTACCATCGTCTCAGCGCTACGACTGTCTTAGCTCTATGTTAAAGTATGAGAGTTACCATCGTCTCAGCGCTACGACTGTCTTAGCTCTATGTTAAAGTATGAGAGTTACCATCGTCTCAGCGCTACGACTGTCTTAGCTCTATGTTAAAGTATGAGAGTTACCATCGTCTCAGCGCTACGACTGGCTTAGCTCTATGTTAAGTATGAGAGTTACCATCGTCTCAGCGCTACGACTGTCTTAGCTCTATGTTAAAGTATGAGAGTTACCATCGTCTCAGCGCTACGACTGTCTTAGGTCTATGTTAAAGTATGAGAGTTACCATCGTCTCAGCGCTACGACTGTCTTAGGTCTATGTTAAAGTATGGGAGTTATGATCGTCTCAGCGCTACGACTGTCTTAGGTCTATGTTAAAGTATGAGAGTTACCATCGTCTCAGCGCTACGACTGTCTTAGCTCTATGTTAAAGTATGAGAGTTATGATCGTCTCAGCGCTACGACTGGCTTAGCTCTATGTTAAAGTATGAGAGTTACCATCGTCTCAGCGCTACGACTGTCTTAGCTCTATGTTAAAGTATGAGAGTTATGATCGTCTCAGCGCTACGACTGTCTTAGGTCTATGTTAAAGTATGAGAGTTACCATCGTCTCAGCGCTACGACTGGCTTAGCTCTACGTTAAAGTATGAGAGTTACCATCGTCTCAGCGCTACGACTGTCTTAGCTCTATGTTAAGTATGAGAGTTACGATCGTCTCAGCGCT